CTAGCATTTCTGTCGATTCCATTTCAGCTTAACCGGCTATCCGGCAGTATACATGCACCGTACTAACTGCTACGGCAGTTATTTTCTCCTTTGAATACTGCCCACCTGCAATAATGATTCCGTAACGTACTCCTTGCGCTATCTTTTGACCATTTGGCAACTTTTCGTTTCGTAGCTGACACGGTACAACACTTTTCTTTCGCTTACTTCACACGGCGAGTCATTTTGTTTACAAAGAAATGGAGTGCTATGCGCATGCGCTAGTAGAGGGAAATCCCTGAACAAAACGTTGGTCAGACAGGTAGAAATACCGATGATTTTCTTAGATTTTATCATTTTTATGAATCTATTTCAGCCAAATCAGATCGTTATTTTCCATAAGGAGTCTCACTTGAAATGTTTATGTAGTACTTGAAAAAAAGACAAAAAATAAAGTTACTTCACCGTGATGCCCCTTTAAACATAAAAACAATCCTCAGAAAACGGGAAATCGCTTCTGAGACGTTCTAGAAAACACAATTTTTTGGGGGGAGATCCCCCAAACTCCCCTTACGGAAGGGGGAAGACGCCCTCCCATACCCTCCCCCTCCTCGCGCAACGCGCGGCAGCACACCGTTAACTATTGAGAAAAAATTATCGGCCCCCCCCTTTTAGGAAATCCTGGATCCGCCCCTGCACCATATAACAAAACATAGTGTGTCAAGGTTAGTTTTTAACACTCTGATGTCAAAGTGTAAGTCTGTACGTATTCCGTTATAATGTATGACATATGTATATAATTGCATACACTTAAAACACAAGAAAACTATCTGTCTTATTAGGTGACATATTGTATTTAAAATTATTAATGCCCTCTGTCTGGGGTTAGGATGGGATCTACTTTGAAAATCAAAGCATATTGTAATATTATTAATTAATGTACTGTAGGGACACGTATAAGCTCAACACAGGTAAAACATAATGTAATCTAACAGCCAAAATACTTTGAAATTATCTAATATATGTTTCAAATTTAAGGTTACTATAAATAACCAGATTTCGCTAACAGTATGATTTAAAACATTTTCTGTTAATAGCATTTCAAATATGATAGACATGATAAACAATATTTCTTTTATGAGGTGGTAATATAAAAAGCTGCATGAAATATATGCAGATAAGATTTCAAGTGTGCTACCGAAAATTTTCAATTAATTTCAAGAGCCCCGTGTCGCCTCAGGAGAAAAATAGATCAGACGAAAACCATTAAAATAGTACACATTAAAAATAAACAATACATTTTTATGGCCACACCGACCGTTATGCCACCTGTATGAGGGAACCCTTAAGATTCTCACCTTTTTTCTGAATGACTTTATCGGGTATATACAGCCAGTTCGGACGCATCTCAAAATTCTCATTTCGTCCGAGCAATACCTCTTCAATATTCTTAAGTCCAAACACAAATATGGTGGTCATCTCGCCCAGTTTTAGTCGGAAAATGTTTCCATAGCGATCCCGAAATCTCTGCAACTTTTGGTCGAACCCTCCACCAGTCACCTGGGGGATGTTCCCGATGATAGGGAGGCCTCGGGGCCCTGGAACGCGCGCCATCTCTCTCTTCCACAGCCAGTAGAGCGACACAGTAAGAAGGAAGGCAGGGATAATGAAACTGGGAATTTCACTTACACCAATGTAAGTGGACATAGCCAGCGCTCATATGTATCACTTTATATGTAAATGTACGTAAGTGTAGTTACAGGCGAAAGGTTAGCCGTAGTGGTATGGTCCCACACAGTCTGAATCACATACTCTTAGTAAAACACGCGTGTCACACCAATGGAACAGATCTTCCGCGGTTACATGTGTACGCTAGTGCTGTAGACGGTCCAATGTACAGTTGTAACAGAAAACAGAATGAATATATCATAGTAAACCGCCTTCTCTCCTCAGAGTGACGCATGTGTCGTCACGTTTTTAAGGTAAACACCACTGCGGGATTAAACCTCTATGTTGATATTACGCTTCACTGAATTCGTTGTAGGCGGGAATGCGCTGGTTGATTGATTGATTGATTGATAGGTTTTACATCCGCTTCACTACCGGATGTATCGTTTATCCAGCTGGAGTGTGACTTGAAATATATATAAAAAAAAAGTTGGATTTAAACGATAATACATGTATCTTCTTTAATAATTAACCGACCTTTTATTTGGAAACCATCCAAGAACATATAACTTCATACTGTATAACATAATATCAGTTATATTATGAGAATTCGTCACAACTCATTGGAAAAACAGGCACAGGATTTGCCCATATGAATTATAAGTGGCAATATTTTGACATGATTTCCTCTAAAAGGGACATCACGTGAAGACCCATATTTTTTTTAATGAATGTATATATTGTATGCACTTCCACTTATGTTACCTCGCTATTCCCATATTCATAGTCCGTTCCAAATGTCCAGTTTGACCACTTGAATTGTTCGGGAAAGCCCTGCTAAAAATAGCGCCGATAACGTCACCTGACTCGGCAGTAAACACAAGTGGTCTACTGAGCGAGATGAAACGGTTTCCACAGGGGCCCCCAGAGAGGAGCCGTCATGCAACTGCAACTTCTTACCGCGCTATGAAACCATATAATATGACTTCTGAGTCCGTATTCAAACTTATTGAACAGTAATTATTCATCATCAGAAGTCAATTGCACGCTTGCCAATATTCAGAATTTAAATTTATTTAGCTTTAAACATATTTGTTGCCAATGAAATTGAACAAGGGATGGGGCACAATTTTTACAATTTATCACAGCCTTCTCCCGTCATACATTTACAATCAAATGTCAACAATGATAATAGGCATAAACATAAAGTAGATATTTATAAAAATATATTGAATTTAGTACCAGAATGTGACCGGTACAGATGGTGCGGGGCTAAACATGTACACCTTCCCTCAACCATGGGACAAACCTTTCTGATTTTTTTTTATATATTGCCAGGGCAGAGGAGGCCGGGTATTCATATTAGTACTAATTTAAATGTTGCATGTAAAACGAAAAATAACCGTTTAATTCAGCAATATAATCAAATCATACCATTTTACTTAACCCGGTAATATTATAAATTATGTAAATCTAATAGCGCACGTATCTTGATCAGGTCCAGTACACTCTGCCGATTGAGCTATATAGCTGTAAAGACCTATAATAGCTCTATTGACCTATGTGAAATAGGTCTTTTGAGCGATTTTCAATTGATTTTCTTTTTTAAGTAAAACGAAACAAAGTCGCTTTTAAAAGAAGATTGTATCATTAAGTTGATAACAAAAGACATTAAATATGGGTATTCTTTTTAAAAAATAATGATGTAAAAAAATCGGAAATTTTACATTTATGAAAAATGAAAATAAACATCTAAATGTATGCTTTTTGTAGTCAACATTACCATAAACCTTATTGTTTTATGCGACTTTGCTTTAATTTAATGAAATTTGAAATCTGAGAAAATATAGCTCAATACAGCTATAATTTATAGGTGTATATAGCTATATAGGTCTTTATAGCTATATAGCTCAATCGGCAGAGTGTACTGGACCTG